AAGGGGCTCCAGGTCCCCACGCCTGCGTGTGCTCTGGGTACCCCCTCGGCCCCAGCCCCTCAAATTAAAAACGCTGCTGGGTCCGCCTTCTGTAATAGCGCCCTGAGGAGCCCCGCTCCTCAAGGAGCGCCCCTCGAAAGCCGCCTGGTCCTGCCGGTGCGGTGGGTTGCCGTGCTCCGCTGGGATTCCTCCGAGCGTTTGTTTGCAGGCCAAGGAGTCGTGGGAGATGGACACCAAAGAGAAGCTGGAGCAGGCTGCCATCGTCAAGGAGAAAGGCACGATGTACTTCAAGGTTTGTAAACTTGGGGACGGTGGAGGCGGAGCAAGGGAGCTGGAAATAAATTCAGGGTGACCGTCGGATACACGACTTCGCAGTCGTCAGTGTCGGAGGAGCCATGTCCCCAAAAACGGTGCTGGGGAAGGCGAGTCCCGCCCTTCCTCTGCCTTTTCCTCGCTCCCTGAGCTACCTCCTCCTTCCCCGGCGTTCCCTTGCCCACGTGTGCTCCCTGCGGAGCGGGACGGCAGGTCGGGCTCTTCCCGGGGTGGCCATGGCTAATGCCGAGGGGCTTTGCGGTTCCCTTCCCGGGCTGGGGCATCCCTCTGCTCTGCGCAGGGGAGGGACGCGAGCTCTGACCTGGCTTTTCACGGGGGCTGCACACCAGCAGCTCCAGCCAAGCCCCGGTGTGGTTGTAGGTATTCGGCATCCTCCTTCCTTCGTTTATTTATTTAACACACAGCGTTAAACTCGTAACCTGTTCGCAGGATGTTTCGGGAGCAGACCGAGCGTTGTCGGTGCGGGTTCCTCTAGCCTCTTCTTCTTTGCTCCATCCCAGGAAGGCAAATATCTGCAGGCAGTGATTCAGTATGGGAAGATCGTGTCCTGGCTGGAGATGGAGTACGGCTTGTCTGAGAAAGAGTCGAAAGCCTCCGACTCCTTCCTCCTGGCTGCCTTCCTCAACCTGGCCATGTGCTACCTGAAGCTGCGAGAGTACGCCAAAGCCGTCGAGTGCTGCGATAAGGTAGAGGTGCACGAGCCCGGGGGTTGGAGCATCCTCTCCTCTTGCATGCTTTCACCGGGCGTTTGGGGGATTTTTGAATTTCTTGTCATATAAGAAGCAATTTCCAAGCGGCAGTGGGATGGTGGCATCCCTTCTGCACCTCGGGGTCTCCGCAGACGCTGCGTGCTCACAGACCGCGGGAGCAAAAGTGCTTTTTGGAGTTCAAAATCCACCCTGGCGTGCACTTAGAACAGCTTTTCTTCCAAAGCCAGATCCACGTGAGCGGACGCTGCGTGGACCGGCAGCCTTAGGACGCTGTTTGGGTCTGCCCAGGCTGGATCTGGGTGCTGGGTGCTGATCTGGGTGCGACAGAGGCCGTCTCTGCCGGAGCTGCAGCGGGTCTCCCAAGTCCGCTGAGGGGTGGGATGGGGCTTTGCCAGTCCCTAAAAGAGCTGCCACCTTGCCTTTGTCAAGAAACTATTAATTCTTTTATAAGAGGCTGAAATTTAAGCATCTTGCATACGGGGAAGATAGTAAAGTTAGTTTCCTTAATCTAAAAGGTAAATCAGCTCCGGGATGCGTATGTGACTTTTAGTAAAGGAAAATGTCATCGCTAAAGCAGGGAGGCAAGCCGACGTTTAATGCATCAGCTCCCTTGCCTGCAAGCTCTCTGTGCTCCTCTCGGCTCAGGTTTAGCATTTGCACCTGATTTACTGTCTGTGGGTTTGTCTCCCACTGACTCTGCCCCTCTCGGGGATTTTAAGCAAAGAGAAATAACTAAATGATGCTAATGACCTGCCAACTGCTGATGGAGACGAGTCAATTTTTGTTGAGCAAGATGCAGGTGCTCTGAAGACTTGAAGCCACCTTGTCCTAATTTTGTCAGATTTAACGAGGCTTTGACCGTAAGGGGGTCTTTTGGGGGATCCCCAAGTTGCTGACAGGGACCTGTGTATTTCCAGGCACTAGGACTGGACCAGGACAACGAGAAGGGTTTGTACCGGAGGGGCGAAGCCAGGTTGTTGATGAACGAGTTTGAGCTGGCAAAATGTGACTTTCAAAAAGTGCTGGAAGTGAATCCGCAGAACAAAGCAGCGAAATCCCAGATCTCCGTCTGCCAGAAGAAAACGAAGGAGCACAACGAGCGGGACCGGAGGATCTACGCCAACATGTTCACAAAGTTTGCAGAGAGGGATGCAAAGGTGCGTGTTGCTCGGTTTTTTGGCCACGTAGCAGGCTGCGCTGAAGGATGCTCGGCAGGTTTGTGATGAGAAGAGAGGGGTTAAAAAGCAATTAAATTACAAGTCAGGTTGAGGATGGAGGGATAGAGCCTGCTGCAACGGGAAGAAGCGGTTTATTTCTTGGTGTCTCTTACGCAGAGACTGCCGTCAGATGCTCAGTCATCAATAAAAGTATTTGCGGTGCGAGCTCCCGAGGGCTGATAACAGGGTTGGCATTTGTATTTAATTTTGCTGTTCCCAGCTAGCGACTGTTGATCTCCTGGTCGCCGGTAAAATGAAATGTCATCCTGTCTCTGGCAAGGCCAAGGGTATTTTGAGACATGATAGTATGGATTTCCTGAACCTGGTAAGGCAATAGCCTGCTCCTCCGCTCGTACGGGGAGGTAGCTGTCTTGTAACAGGCTCTCATCCAAAATTCCTCTGAACAAAACCCAGTGTACTGTAACAAGAGAGGACACGGCTTTGCAAGCTGTCTGCGCGGGTCATTTTTAGTATATCTCTTCTGAAGCGGTGCCTGGAGGTGGAGGCTGTGGGATAAGTGGCCGGCGCAGGCCCTGGGGAGCAGCGTGCCGGGGTAACCGGCTCGGGGCAGGGAGCGGAGCTGCTGGCAGCGCGGCACGTTGGCTCGTGCGGC